TGCTCAGATTTGTTTGCCGTGTCATTTTTAGTTCTCCTCTTCTCAGTGTCGGCCCTTCCTGCCTAGATGGACATTTCTCTGTTATTCACTCTGAGGTTATGGTTTTAGATTGAGGGCAAAGCCCGGAGCCTGCTGTTTGTTTTGAAGGAATCCATTGTCAATACAGACGCAGCAAGGCTCAGATTGTTTGCAGAGTTAATAGTAGTTTGATGATGTCATTCTCAGTGACCTGAAGAGAAATTGACCCCTGTTGTGTGAGTATTTCTAAAATGCCACCTGCACAATTATGGTTGGAGTGTCCCTGGGCCGTTGTATGTACGGTTTGTTTTATCTGAGACAGTCGCAGTCTCACACACGGACACCGACACACGCATGTGAACACATCCACATGAAACGTGTACTGCTTCAGTTTAATTTGCTGACCCATACATCGACATCTTCTGAAACATGTTCGTTGAATGTCAGTACAAATCAGGTTCCCCATAGTGATGATGAAATAATTTATTCATCATGAGTGACTTAGAGCATTTCACCATGAACCTTTTACACATATGTATAGGTTCTTTAGAGAAACACATAAGACAGTGTTAGGAGGGGAGTTCTTTAGATGGTTTCCTTTTTTTTATTGACAAAAAAAAAGGTTTTGCTTACATTTACACATGCAGAAACAGAATAAAAGATACCGTAGATATGGGCATAGAGGTATCCATGACAGGCTTAAATTGCATTTATCAGACATTCACCGTTACTCCTGCTCATATGTCTTCAATGCAGATCATTTAAAACCTTTTCTGCTGACTGATAAGTGTTTTGATGGTAAAAACACTGCTTTTCTTGTATTAGTTTAATCTTCATATTGTTGTTGATTGCTACAAAGAGGAAAAATATAATGCAAAAATAAAAAAGGGGGTAAGAAGCGGAAAGCAAAAAGACCAAATCCTCTAGAGAGATGTATAATTCATGCTCACGACATACCAGGCATTCTGGGTGTGAGATTGTGTGTGTGTGTTTGTGTGTGTGTAGGTCCTTCTGAATAGTGATTTATACTGCAGGATGATCACTCTGTATTTGCTGAATCCCTGTCTCCATGTCTTTAGGGTTCAGGTAGCCAACAGACTGGATTTAGCCTGGGCCAAGACCTGAGTCAGTCATTGTGGGATTCTCTCTTTCTTCACTTGAGGTGTGACATTATTTATTTCACAGGTGAGCTGGGCCTTGAACTGTGTGCACATTGTATTCATTTGTAATGGTCACTGTTGGGACTGAATCTGAGGATCCACATATGTTCTTCTTTGGTGTGTGTTTGAGAACATGAATAATATAGAAATAACAAATGTGAAACTGTGCTGTCATCAAGACAAGGTTGAAAATAAGATAATTTTCATTCAACACTTTTTTAGAATAGTTTCAATTATTAAAATACATCTATTCTTCTTAAAAGAAGTTTAAGAAGATTAGGTTTATTTTTTATTATTTATTTTTTTTCCAATACTGGATTATTCACTACCAATATCAATCGAAATCAATTATATATGATATTATGGATGTTATTTGAGACAATATAATGGCCAGTGTTCATGTTTTTATATAAATACATAACATAAACCAACATTTTCTTTTTAATTTCAGTTTGTATCTTAAACCCTGCAACAAATATATTTGCTGAGACATTTTACAGTAAAATGTAAATGTAAAATTTCTAAACTACCTTAAACATATCTTGGGCATTAATGTATCAGCCTGACATCTACACCAACCAATATACTGTATATTTGTCCTTAAATGTTTCATTTTGCCCTTTATCTCATGAAAAGAAGTTAGCAAAGTAAGCATTTAAATCGTCCTTAAGCCTCAAGGTAGTAACCCACTTCAATGACTTCAGTCAATATAAACAAAGTAAAAATAATTGTTCTTAACAGTGCTGTTTTCTAGACAGAGCTTCAGTGGGTTGTAGCCGAGAAAGTCTTGTAACGGAGAGACTGATGTCAGCGAACAATAGATAATTGCACTTTGGAGCCTCTTTAATAACTTCTTAAAACTTCTGCCTCTTTTTCTCAGATAATCTTTCAAGATTTTTCTTTAACTTCTTTGGGAGGCTTGCGGCTGGTCCAATGAGAACTGCAGACTGACCTATATGCTCAAAGAACATCTGTACTTGCATCTAACTGAGTTTCATATTACCACAGTGCTGTCCCTTTTCAGCAAGAAAATGTGCCACTGTTGGGGGAAAAAAAGTTATACTGGGCTTTAAAGTCACCTTTTTCAACTTTTCCAATTTATACAATTTTCGTATTTACGCGTATGATGTTACAGAGAACAGAAAAATCAGCTTTCACCTGCCTGACTGAAGGACAACCTCGGCCCAGTAAAATATGTCATTTTGCTCATTTGTTGCTGAAAATACGGTTTGAATTGACAAGTAAAACACACATTCAGTTTTACACTATTATAATGTTTACTGAGGTTTTTTTTAAGTATGTATGTACCAGCTGTATTATGTTGAGAACAAACTGTGGGCCATGGCTGCCGTCGTAACTCAATCATGAATTATATAAAGAGAGGATTCCCGTGTGTGTGAAATGGCATTGTTCACAGTTTGTGTCACATCAGTGCATGTTTAACTAGGCAAAACAAAAGCTTTTCAATATTTAAGTGCGCAGGGACTGACAGAGTGAGGAGACATGGCTCTTGTACTGCTGTTCTGCCTCCTCCTGTCCTGTCCTTTCCTATCTGGTCGCCTGTCCTCTCCCCTCCCGTCCTCTGAAGTGCTCTCCTCTCCTCTTAGATTACACTACCCTGAAAAACACCACTTCAGAAACCCCTCTAAAACTCAGCATCTCCATGTCAGACCATTTCTTACACAATGAAGCCAACAAGAATTGACTCACAACCATCCCTCTTCCCCATTTATCACTTCTCCATCTGTCCTGTACCACAGGCTACATTAGCTTCAGCGCACAACCATTTTAAGCTCCCTCCACTGGGTTTGAATAGTGTGTGCTAAAATGCAGTGTTAATCAAACTCCAAACAGGTACACCAGGGTTTGGGTCTCAGAGGTCCAGTTAAAAGGCAACACTACAGAAATGATTAACAGGGGGGCTATTGAACAGATGTGAAAACAAGAGATACAAGAGGAACAAATACATTTAGAGAGAGAGGAGATTGTTTGAAGAATAAGAGGAAGTTTGGTCCTTCATACTGTATGTATTTACATTTAGGTCTTATTCATGAAATTATTTTGATATTGTTCAGCGTTTTGACAGCTGTAAAGTCTTTGTGTTCCCATGCTGAGTCAACCACAGAGAAGGCCTTTACTGCTCCCTACAATCCACTTTGTGTCCTTGTGCTGGAACTTTGTCTGATTAGGCGTTGGCTAATTAGGTCTGACTACCCAGGCTTTTAAGTCAAACGCCATCATGCATGAGGCCTGGTTAAAAGTTGATAGATGGATGAGACATTAATTGTCGAGAAGGAGAAACACTGCTGATGGGACTTTCAGTTCCTGGCATGAGTGGACATGGCAAGGGTGGTGGTACCCAATGTGTGGGTCATGACCCTCCACAGGGGTTGAAGAACAAATTGAAGGAGTCCTGAGATGATTAATGTGATAGCACAGAATCAAAAACATATTCTGTTACATGATATTATCTTTATTATTATAACTTTTCAAAAATAATTGCTATTTTCTTGTGAATTGCTATATAGATGTATCCATTTGTTTTTAAAAAAATCATTGATTAATACACAGGGGTGAACCGTAAATATTGCTTTTGTTTTAAGGGGACACAAGTCAAAAGCCTGGAGGACCACTGGTCACAGAGGCACTGGTTTCACCTTATTGCTGCCAATCATCAGTTGTTGGTCACATATTGCAATGACAAAATATTCTACTGTATTAAAATCCTTCTGCTCTTGTATTGTTACATTCAAATATCTTTTTGACAACATGATTTTACAGACACAAATCCCTTTGAGTCTGGACAGAAACAGTCATCAAAGCATTACAAGTACAGAGCCCACTCATCAAACAACCAGGCATGTGTTCTTCAGTTAGAGTCAGATCTTGCTTGAATCCTTTCCCTGCTGATACAGTAACACTAGCGAGGTGGATGAATCCAGCAGAAATCACATGTATAAGCAGCTAGAGCAGAGACATGGATAAGTGAGGAAAAAAAGCAGTAGTAGTCAGATATGAATCGAGACATTTTAACTTTGTCATGAGAACATTTGCCAGCTGCAAGGCGCTCTGCTGATGTTTAGCCTGAGGGTGTGACAGACAGGAAGGGATGTTATGCTATTACAGCTTTTGATCACCAGCATCACGGGAACACAGGTATCAGAGAGAGACTTGTATCTCTCACAGCTGTTCAGGCTCTGTTGTGGAGCTTGTTTAGATATTGGTGTAAATGGGATAAGGAATATTTAACTCGAAATATGTAAGCTGAGCTCTTTTTGTTTTAAATCCCTTTCAAAAGTAATGTACCATACAGTCAGAGCAGTTCTTTGAAACTAAATAGACAGTCCAGGCAAATAAACGTGTGACAACAGGCAAAACATTATTCTCCAAAGCTGTGTAATTGTGTTAACTGTGTGTTAATAGGCATTGCAGTACAATTACTTGGCCTGCACATAATGGAAGTCTCATCAATGTATGGATCCTGCCCCCTACTGTCAATGATGAAAATTACATCAATAATCAATTAGTGTGTGTTCATTGTTGAGGGGTTGCAAGCTGACAGCAATCAACAAAGAGATTGTTCTCATTTGGATCCTTTTTGGGGAGGAAATTTGCTGTCCAGGCAACAAATAGCCAGCAATTATAAATATATTACAACCCATTTCAGTTTGGAATTTGCTTTCATTTGCTTTTCATTTTCACTGTGTGTAATTTATTCTGTTTAAGGAGCACAATGAGTAGAGAAGCTAATTTTAATGGATCTTCAATTCCTGTGATTTTACACCAAGTGTTTCCTTGTCATTCCCTTTCTGTCTCATAAAGAAGTGCTTGGGATCTGAAACGACCATCCACCTCCTGTTGTATGCAGGGAACACAGCAACCTCTTCTGGACAAAAGTGAAAGTAGCACATAGTGTAATGAAGCCAACATAACAGAAGTGAGTACCACCTATTATTATGAATATGAGTCTGACAAAACTAGGTTTACAGAAATTATGACAACACTTCAGTAAATTAAATGGCATTTTATTGTCATCACTGTATTTCTGCTAAACAGTTATTGAGTTTGAAATTGAGCTATTGACTTTCACTGGCATCTCATAGGAAATGTTAAAATCCCAAATGTCTGGCATCACATCTCAACAGATAACAAACTAGTAATTCGACTTGAGGAAAATCATACTATTGCCTGGAGAAGCGTTAAAAAGTATTCCATGATCAATGTATCTGATTAGTTTGCTTTGACGGTACACTGGTGAGCTAATCAGGCCAAAGGGATCAATGGAGCGGTTGTCACGCTGCCTTGCGTTCCTTCTATCTTCAGATAAATACAATGTAAATGACTGGGTACTAAAGGAAACCCTACTGGGACGCATACTAAACTCTGCCTGTGCTGCATTGTGCACATGGGAATCTCTACAGACACTTAGCCAGTTCTTAATCAGTAGTGTGCAAAAAATAGGTCCCTATTACACAGCCCTCTCTGAGTCTCTTATCATCATATTTGTCAGAGCTGCTTTATTCATTTCCAGATCAGTTTCCTCAGACTGTAAACTTTACAGCCCTTGTAGCAAATCCTTGTGGTACGATCCTTATTGTTGCTGATAGGCTCTGAACCTCTTTCTTCCTCATTCTCTGCCCCTCTTTTTCCCTCTCGCTCTCTCTGTCTCTCTCTCTCTCTCTCTCTCTCTCTCTCTCTCTCTCTCTCTCTCTCTGTGTGTGCGTATGTGTGTGTGTCTCTCTCTCTCTCTCTCTCTCTCTCTCTCTCTCTCTCTCTCAGGCAGTAAGAGCTACAAGGCCACCAGATGCTCTCCCAGCCTATTTGTCTTGTCCCTTTCGCAGACAAACTAATTGCTAAACAAAAGGTGCTGGCGTGTCCTGTCGAGTACCCTTGTAAATGCTTTACAGCCACAGTTCCATTCTGCCGGATAGTTAAGTGGCTAATTATAAAAGGACCACAGAAGAGCCTGATTAGGGATGAAGGGGAGGAGGAGGAGAAGGAGGATGAGGTCCTATAGCCCATACACAAGGCAGTTGACACAGTTAGCTCAACATGAATGGGGTCCCCTTGATGAAACTGCCTAATGTAAAGAGCAGACCAACTCTTTGCTGTTGTTGAAATAGAGTTACTGTAGAGCAGGGAACTCAAACTGCGGAGCCACGTGCAATTTCCAGCCCCCATCCTCCCTCTGGCAAGCAAAATGATGTCAAAAATATGATATAAGATTACTAGATTTTTTAATATTTTTTTCTTTTCTTTTCATTTCTTCATATACAATGAAAAAAAGGCAAATGTCTAAGGGGCCTGCAAATGCATGCAAGGGTTTGATAAGAAGAGAGCAGGTTTGGGGCTTTATTTGTTGTTTGGTAGTGGGCCTCCTTTGAGATGACCATACCAGCAGTGGCCCCAAGCCAATCCGAGTTTGAGACCCCTGTAGACGCTATAATGCTACTTGTTATGTGTGGTGCACACTTAGATATAGCGGGGGTGGGCAGACGTCATTGTGATGCTTTTCCACCACTGTACTGTGTTATAGAGCTGCAACTAATGATTATTTGTATCATTGATTACTGCTGATAATTTCTTGATTAACTGATTAATTGTTTGATCTATAATGTCTGAAAAATAATAAAAAATGCCAATCACTGTTTGCCAGAGCCCAACAAGACATCCTCAAATGTCTTGTTTCAGTAATCAACAGTTCAACACTCAAAGCTATTCAATTTACTGTTATAGAGGTCCTCCTTTGCTGAATACTGAAATATAAAAAATACTCCATTACAGGTAAAAGTACTTGTAGTCTGTGAGTGTTATACAATTATTGCTTATTTTACTGGGTTATTAATACATTAATGTGTTAATAGCTACTTTTTTTTACTGTTTTGTAGTTTAATCTGTGCTACATATTTTATAAGCAGACACGTTTTGTAAAATCTTAATCTAAAACGTAACAACTACAACTATCATATTAATATAATAGAGTAAAAGTGTGATATTTCCCACCAGAAGACTAAGGAAACCAGCAATTACTCACATTTGAGACGCTTGAAACAATGATTTTCTTTTGCATAAAAAACAATTATCAAAACTTCTTGTCCATCAAATAATCCACTAGTTGTTTCAACTGTTGAGAAATGTGTCAATGTAGAGAAGCAGAGACAGTTTGGAGGAGCAGTGACAGTTTGAAATACAATCCAATACATCTCTGAATCAGTTGAATCCATGCCTCTCTGTCAGCCTAAACATGATAAACTTCACAAAGGTAGTATTTATTGCAGGGCTGTTGTACTGGATTGCAGTGTATTGTACAGGTGTTGCTGTTGTTGCAAAGGAACCCTTTCCTTTTTGGAACTGGGGGACAAAAGAGGCAGAAAGAAAAAGGTATAAAATGCTTCTTTTGATGTGTGTGTGCGTGTGTGCGTGTGTGCGTGATTGCATGCCTTTATCCTGCCTCCGCATCTGGGAAAATGTGTCCCATCACTTGATGATGTGTTCAGTGAATGACGTGTGTGTGTGTGTGTGTGTGTGTGTGTACTTGTGAGCCTGTCTCTGTATGGGCCGAGAAAACAGAGAGTCCCTGACTCCTTATCTTGACAAAGTTGGGTAATTAACGACAGAGCCTATTAAAGGGAGAATATTCAGCCAGTGATGAATGGCTTTAATAACAGGGCCGTGTTCTCTCTAACAGAGACAGATCCTCCCGCCACCGTCTCCCTGCCCACCAGATAAAACTACCCAGACTCCCATCTCACCACCCTCTTCATCTTGCCTTTTCCCATCGGCAGTCTCGCTCCCTATTTCCTGTCTTTGTGTTTTCTTTTTCATTCACTTTTCTCTCACAGATTTCACCTTTGGATCACAATTGTAGTTTCAAGGTTTTGTCACATCAGAACAGTCACATCAGACAGGCCTACATGTTATTCATGTGTACACAAAAGCATGCACAAAACACAAACATGTATAACATTTGTATAATAACTAAGCGCCACCTTCTCGTCTACCTGCATGAATGCTTGTGTGTTTTTGTGGACACATTTGTGCATGTTTGTCTTGTAAAACATCGTTAGCCTCTTTGTGCAGGGGCCATGCAAATTGGACAGTTAAGAAGCGCCAGGACCAATTTATGTTCCTGTGCAGCCCTTTAAGAGGGGCTGTGCTACTGCTTTATGTGTCCTGGTGGGGTTGGGGGCAAGGGCTTACCACAGGGGTCACATTCATCACAGCCCTGTATTGTGAGATTGGTCCAGATGTCTGTCCTCATTAGGAAAGGCCGCTTCCAAAAGTGAAAACATTCAAATGGGTGAGTTAAGCAGCCACACGCCCATGTACAGAATCAAACTGTGACAGTGTTGCAGAGTGTTTCTATGTAAGGTATGTGGAAGAGTTATTAGCAGATTCCTCTGTGTTTTTAATTTAAAGAGTCAGTTCACCCAAATTACAAAAAACTTAGACACATGCAGATAGTTTGGTTTTTATTTGTCCAGGTTTTTGAGATCAGAACCAGAATCAGAAATATTTTATTGATCCCCGGGGAGATATTTGTTTGTTACAGTTGCTCAAGGTGCTCACGCGATGTTAACGAATAGAAGTAATAAGTATATTACAATATCTAATGCACAATATATAGAAATTGAAATTGTAGGTATATACTTAAAAGTAAAAATAAAAATAGAAATAGAAAGTATGTACTTTATAATACAATATATACAATATATGACAATATAGACAGAAGTAAATGTATGCCACAGTATGTGACCAACAGAAATGAAATTACTTTTAAAGATTGCAGTATTACAGAAGTTAGAAGTATGCCAGAATAAGCCCAAGCATTGCACTTTAATCATATTATTGCACACGAACCAAAGAACATTTCAAGCGCTAGTTTGATGACTAATGATTTAGAGTTTTTACACTCTGAGGGAGGAGTTGAAGAGTTTGATGGCCACAGGCAGGAATGACTTCCTGTGGCACTCTGTGGTGGTCCAGCTCTACCACCACAATGTCACTGGCCTTGCAGATATGTGTCTTTGAAAATCTTGCCTTCCCTAAACACAATGGAAGTGAATTGTATTTATTTGTGGTCCTAAAAGCATTATAAAATATATATTCAAGAGGTGTCTATCCCCAGTTCAATTGTAGTGAGATATATTTGTTGCTCCTAGTTTCTCCACTGACGGCTGTCCAATAAAGGTGAAACAAAAAGCCAAATAGAAAACTTTAAAAAATCATTGAAAATATTAAAAAGGGAAATCTCTTTGCAGAAACAATGCTCCTATTTACCTGATGATCTATAGGCCTCACTGTGAACTGTTTGCAGATACTTTCTCCAGAAGAAGTCTCTTTTTAAAATTGTTGACGGTGTTTTGTATATTACCCAGAGTAAATGGGACACTCCTGGAAAGACAGGTTGCTGTTAAATGTAACTTGTTAATGCTATATGAGCAACACAAAATCAATTATAATCACCCTGTATGGGTGAAGTTGGAAATCTCAGAGACAGATGTCTCAAAAGTCAAATCAAACTATATTCATGGCTAAATATTTTTAGGGCAAAGTGAGAATGTTGTTTTCCTAATTTGGGTGAACTTACCCTTTTACCCCAATGTGCTGATTGGGGTCCTGGAGACCACTGTTTAAACACTAAAAGAATATCCTTAACATAGTTTTTTAGAATTAGTTCAAAACTGATGACATGTTTCAGAAGTACACTACAGAAAAGTATGCAGCTGGTCTCAGAGACCCCTGTCTTTGTCTGTGAATGGTAATGGTAAGGATTTTTTCAAGCATAGCCTATTTAAATAGAAAATCTGACTTTTCCCCCGTATTTGCTGTTATAACAATGTTTTATGGTAATTCCTGTATTTTTTGTCACCTTCATCTTTAAATGTAAAAAGCCCAGTTTGTGGCAAAGGAAATGATTACCACTTAAATACTTCATAGGTTTTCATAAGTTCAGAGGAAAGGAAGAAATATCCAAGGTTAAAAAAAGGTAGATTTTTGGATTATTATCTTTTATACAGAAGTAACAAAACAAAAGGGTTTAATTTGCATGCATGAAAGAGAACGTGTTAAAGATGACAATGAAATGTTGTTTTTTTTGTTTGCTTGTTTGTGTGTACTTTACAGACTGAAAAAGGCCAGGACCCCAAGAATGGACAAAGCCAGAAAATTACACAAAACACTGGACTTCTCCAGTTTGGCTTCAGGTTTGGGCCCTGTCAAGCACACGCACTCACACACACACACACACACACACACACACACACACACACACACACACACACACACACACACACACACACACACACACACACACACACACATTATACCCCGCTCCTCTCCAAAGTGACTCCCATGTGTAGCGGGACCTTCATACAGAGGTTGTAGCATCAGGCGCTCTCTCACAGGACCAAAGGCAGCAAGTCCATTAAATACACATGAGAGTCTAATTAGGGCCCCCCTCATGCAGCGGGCTTGGAGGTAGGAGTCATTGGGGAGCGACACTGCCAAGACCCTGACACTCGAAGAACACACTCTGCAAATTAATAGAGAATGACCAAGTAGTACCTCTGTGACTGACTGGGACCTCTACTTCCTTGGAGGCAAAAATGTTCAGTGCTGATTGCTCTCATTAAATTTGTTATAGTGATATAATTATGAAAATATGTCTGGAAAATGGGATGACTCTTGGTGTGTGGTTAGTTTGCATACTATGGTAAATTTGATATGAATGTTTAATATTTATATGGTTCATGTGACCTTTAAATGAGACCACGGAGAAGGAATTGTTGAGTATGTGTTTTAGTTTGTGGCCTCATTTTACCCGATTTCTCTGGTAATTCAAACCCATTAAACATCTCTGTTGTGGTCTTTAAATGAATGATAGCCAACCATCCTGAACAAGATTAACATAACTGATCATTTTGCTAATTTGTTCTGAATTCAAGCAGGAAAGGGGCCTCGACTATATTTCCCATTATAATTAGGTTGATAATAGCGTTGGGTGAATTATTGCATTTTTGTTATTCAGGAGGAAAGTCTTTCCTCTGCTGCGTGTCACATGAGATATTAGTGCGGACATAATTCTTATTCTGGCAGCAGCACGGTGACTGATATTATTTAAATTACACCTCCTTGGGCAAAGTATTCGGAAATACTTTGCAGATGGGAATTCATCACAAAATGGTGGTGAGAAAATGAGGGACATCAGGGTTTGATTACGCTGACAAAAATGTCTTTTTTCCAAGGGAAATGACTAATGTTGTTAACAACAGGCCAAGGTGTTCTGTATTCTGCAAACTGGCCGCATTAGATAGATAGATAGATAGATAGATAGATAGATAGATAGATAGATAGATAGATAGATAGATAGATAGATAGATAGATAGATAGATAGATAGATAGATAGATAGATAGATAGATAGTGACTACATGGTAGCATAGTGGAGCATTACAAAAACAGAGCAACATATTGGACTTAAGGAACATGCTTCACGCAGGGATGGTACAGTATGTCCATGATGATGTGTAGCATAACATGGGGCTTTTTTAGTCTGATGACCAATTTTGCTCCAACCAGCAGAGTCTCCCACATGCCTTCTGGCTAACTGTTGTCTTTGCCACTCTCCTATGAAGCTGGGACCGGTGAAG